GGGAACTTTAAGGCAATACCAACAGTAATTATTGACTACTCTAAAAATGTGTACCATTGCAAGGGGCACGTGTAGCTGAGCGAAAGCAGCCTTCCCCCTCTTATTTAATGATCACTTGCTACCCTGGAGGTGTAGAGCTGTAAATCTCAGGAGTTGTCCCTGGGTATCATGGGAGTAACTGTGAGCCTTGATTTTGGCTCTGTTTTTTTGTGTATTTTTTTAAGTGACTTGCCTCATCCTTAGTTGGGAAATGGCTGCTAACAAGCTTCAGCTTGTTTTTAATTCTCCTTCCCAAGTACCTTTACATCTTAGTATATTTTTTATTTGAGTGCATATTTATTTTATTTCTATGTATGGGTCGTTTCTGAAAGCTAACAGGTAAGATTTCATAAATGTGCAATGAAATAAAAAATAACAAATAATTTAGTGTAAGTCAGAAGCCATAACAAACAAGGTTCCCTTGTGACTCCATCATTCCATCGTGACAAACAAGAACTACACATCTGTGCTGATTTCTGCCTCTTCAGCCTGCATCTCCCAGGGGCTTCTTTTCCTCTGTCTTGGTCAAAGCCAACATCCCTTGCGCAAAAGCCTGAAGTAGGGACATGTGGCTGTGACTTAGGGGGGCTGCTTTTACTCCGGCTTTACATATAATTAATCACTAATTTCACTGCTTCCACCCAACGCCCCTCTTTTCCTCCCCCTTCTCATCACCTGTGCTATGAACCTACATCACTTCTCACCTGAACAGCTAGTCGCCTCACTTGCCCCACTATCATTTCATTCCTCAGCACACCCTCAGTCATCTTTCTCTAATGCACATCTGAGCATGTCCCTACCTGGACCATACGTCACCCTCTGGGACAGGTAAACCCATAGAGACAGAAAGCTGAGCAGTGACTGCCAGGTACTGGCAGGGAGAGAGGAGAGGAAGCAATGGCTAATGGTAATGGGGCCTCCTTTGTGATGAAAACATTCTGCAACTAGAGAGTGACAAGGCTGCACAGGTTGTGAATGCACTAAGTGCTATTGAACTGGTCACTGTCAAATGCTTAGAATAGTCGTTTTATTTTATGTCATGTGTATTTTAACACACACACACATCTTATCAGATAAGGTCGATGCATTTCAGCACCATGTCACACAGGGTTACTTGTTCACCCTCCCTCTGTTTTCCCTCTATGCCTTCATAAATGGAACCGTTGCAGGTTAAGGCATGGCATGTGCCATGAGTTCCGTGCCCCAATGCTTGCGCGCGCGCGCACACACACACACACACACACACACACACACACAAAGTTTCCTCTGTCTGCAATGCTCCCCTCTCCTCATCCTCCCTCTGCAATCTGTCCAGTGATCTGTTTCCTCCAAGATTCCCTTGCAAGCCCCGACAATCCACATCCATACGCCCACTGGGAATTTCCCTCTATGTTTTGTCCCCTAAAAAGGTACGACTGGGAAATAAATCCTTTACTGCCGAGTCCATGTTTCTAGTTCCAGGCAGAATTGTACAGCTTTCTAAAACACGAAGTGAACTGAGGTTTTAATGTGTTTTATAGAACCTTTTAAAACCCATGACATGTTTGCGACCCCTGGGACATCTGGAACACATGAGCCCGGCGGTTTCGGCTCCAGTATGGAAACAGCCCAGACGTACCGTTTCTGGTGATGAGGCCATTTCCATCCAGGGAGCCTTGAGATTAATCTTGTCACATTTAAACAGGTGATCACAGCGCTTTCACATCTTGTTGCACACCTTAAAGCTGTGGAGGCTTGTGCCCTCCATCTGTGAGTGGGGAGCAGCGTGGCTGCAAACAGCAGAGGTGCTATTTGTCAGCGCACACACACATTTATTCCTGAGGCTGACCTCGGCAGCATGCTGGCCGGGAGTGTGCTGGAGAGCATCCTTTGAGAACCTGCGGCAAGTGAATTTCCTTCCCCATCTTAATGACACCATTTTTCATGGCCCTTGGCCATTCCATATGGCAGCTCAGCATTGGACTGGGGTCAGGCAGGTCTCTGAGAACAAGAATTAAATACCCAGCTGTGTCATCCCTTCCTGACCACATGATTATCATGGACATGGTGTGTGTGCGTGCGTGCGTGTGTGTGTGTGTGTGTGTGTGTGTGTGTGTGTGGTACCAGGAGAGCAGAACATCAAGAAGAAATACCCTAAGGTGAGGTCATACATAGGTGTTAAACAAATCTCTGTTTGTAATCTCCCATGAAGTAAATAAATTGCCTGGTCTGTCACAGGATAGAAGTGGTTCTTGTAAACAGTAGTTCTCACAGAGGAAGCTCTGGGCCAACCGCAGCAGCATTCCCTCGGAAGTGTTAGAGGTGCACATCCTTAGGCCTCGCCCCAGCCCTTCAGAATTAGACCCTCGACGGGCAGGGCCCAGGAGTCCACTCAACCAACTCAGAAGTTGTTATGCACATTCAAGTTTTACGCCACTTCCTTCAACCAAGATTGTCGATGCTAACGTGGGAAGACAATGTTCGAGGGTCGTTGATACAAGCGTTTTGATGCTGCATTTTGAATAAGGATAATTGTTAGGGAATAATGACAGTGACTAGTATTTCTTGAGTATCTCCCCAGGTCATTGTGCTCAGTGTCCCATAGATGTGATTTCATTAATTTCTCACATAGTTCACAACTGTCTTCCATGGTGATACTTCTTTCCCCGTCGTACAAAGAAACAGAGGCTTAGAGGGTTCAGTTACCTGGCCAAAGTCACAGCTTGCCGTGCCTGGAGTCACGTTCCGATGCCCTCACTCCCCTGAGCCCAGGCCTTACCACACTGTGCTGTCCCCATAAGCTGCAGGCTGGCCCTGGACAGAGGATGACCTTGGCTCCGGGGTATTCGGTTTATTGATGTTCTGGACCACAGCTGCCAAACTCATTTCCAGTGGAAGCAGCTGGCTTTTGTCACACACATGACTTCATTAAGTGTCCTCTGCTGAGCTGAAGTTGCATAAAAATCACTCATCAGATTCCTGCCAAGGCCAGAGATTTGGATGGGAAGTTACAGGAAGAGAATTGTACCCTGAGAGGGTGGGGGCAGTGAACGTTTTCCTTCGGAGTCATCTGCAGGGGCCCTTGTCGCACATCTGTTTACTTTCAGTCTGTGACAGAGTGGGACGTGGTGGGTTTCCAGACGCAAGCCCGGACACGGGTGGTAGGTGGGCCCCGCCGCCACTGCAGCAGGGCACAGAGGACCCCGATGGACTGTAACACAAAGCAGGTGTTTCCAATCGCAGAGCAGGACTAGGTGCAATCTCATGCCTGCAGTGGTGGTCTCCTCCCCTCACCTACCTCGGCGGGTTGTTGAGAAGTGGGTGAAATGTTCTGTGACTAAGCTGTAAAGTTTGGCCCACGAGGAAGGAATTATGGTACCAGAACAAAGATTTGATTGAAAACACTGGTGTTTGCATCGGAAACCAGGGTTCCAGCTGGTTCTCTCCCTTGCGATGGTGTGGCTCGGACAAGCCACCTAATAGCTCCAAACAGCTCAGCCACCTCGAGGGAGCCGGTGTGAATGCGCTCTCATCGTTTGTGGGTGCACAGCTGGGAGAGCTGCTAAATCTAATTCATCCAGCCATGTTGATCCCTCTTACCTCCCAGCAAGGGTGCGTGTACGATGGTGGGTTGCGGGGTTCATATCATAAATGCGCTATGTAATATATGCGTACCTTTTCCTGCCTCAGCTCCCCCCAGGCTGGAGCAGGTAAAATGGGCACAGCCTCTTCGGAAGGGCCTCGTCCAAGTGGCTTTTAATTGCTGGGTGTGATTCACCAGCTAGAACTTACTAATGTGATGCTTGTACTGCGTGTGTCCACTCCCGCCATCCACTACTAACCCCTGTGTTGTCCACATGCCACAGGACAGCACAGGCCACGTTGGTCTCTCCTGCGTGTGGCCTCCTGACCCTCAGTGTCAGCCTTTCCTGTTGGGAATTGAATCACGCAGGCCCCCCTGTCCTCTATGTGGGACATTTGCTGGACCTCGTGGCTTTCTGAGTGTAGAAAGTGGTCCCCTTTTGTCAGTGGGGAGCCTAGCACAAGGGTGGACACTTTGTAGGACCATGTGTGGGTCTGAATTCACCTCACCTGGATGTTTTAAGAATGTTTTTTACTTTCTGAGAGGGCTGTTACCCAAACGTGGTGAGTCTGCGTGCTGTTGTGTGTTTGTATTGCACACAATTTGGGAGGAAGTGTACTGATACCTCCACTTGACTTTAAAATGTGTCAAAAAACAAGGTGGATTAATACATAAATAGTGGAACCCTTACTCGCGTGAAAACGAGTAACATGGGTGTTAATGAGAGAATCTAAATGGTGCATGTGGAAATCTTTTAAATTTGCTGTGTGTTTTTAAAAAAAAATCATAATCGGGTGGGGAGAGAATGTTCTAACTCTATGCTGCTAAAAAAAAAAATGGTCTTTTAAAATTTCAGGTGGCAAGGAGTTTTTGCGTTACTTTTTTTTGGATAATGACAATGTCCCCTTTATTAATGGTAAAGGCTAATGGGAAGGTACGGCTCAGTGTGGGGGTCAGGCGGACCAGATAACTGAAGGGTGAAGTTGGGTACATTTCTCCGCCCAGTTGTAGACAGAGCTGACCTGGGTGTGGCTCCCCACGTCAGGGCCTAACCAGGTAAGAATTATAGCTCAGCAGAGGGTAGGGGAGAGCAGACAGCTCTTAGCTCCCTCCCAAGAGAAGAAAGACAAGGAGAAATTTTCCAGTTTTACGCAAGGTAATGATGAACCCAACTTTGTGAAAAATTCAATATACAACTTCAAAACTTTCCCACCTTAAAAGTGCCTCTTACTGAAGCTGTCCAAGGGAAGACACTGGCATAGCCCAAGGCATGAGTTTCTAGAATATTCTGTGTTCATGTAAGCTTTCAGAATGATTCAATCTGAACCAACACGTTCCCATTTATCTAGAATATGCATGTCTCCACATTGCTATTTTTCTTTTCTTTTTCTCCTACCAGGTCATTGTTCGAGGTGGAGGACACATTTTACCCTATGACCAGCCTCTGAGAGCTTTCGACATGATCAATCGATTCATTTTTGATAAAGGGTGGGATCCTTATTGATGGCGAAGCTGCTTTTCTCAAACAGTACGTCAAGGGTTGGAATCTTTAATAAGAAATTTTTCAAAACGGAAAATGTCATACAAATAAGAAAGCTGTCTTTTTCTATCTGCAAAACATTTCTCATCAATAAAAATTACCCTTGAGATGACGAGTGAGGTTCTGTGGTGTTTTATTACAAAATTAACTTTCAGGAAGTGCCGTGGATGAGGGAGAATTGCATCTTTTAACTGAAAAGGTAGAAAGAATGGACTCCAATCACAGATTCGGATACATATGGATAAATGGGATGTTGGGAACTTGAATAGGAATTTTTAATTTCTCCTAAGAGTATGTTAAAAGCACAATAAATGAATAGAGCTGTAACAACATCTTGTTCTGTAAATGATAGAGTTTCTTCAGCTCACAAGTATCAAGGTGTTTGGTGAATGTTATTTGGATAAGAGTAGCTGAATTATCACCCCAAAGAAACGGGTGAAATTATAACACTGGTGGGAAAGAGATTCTGGAATGTAGAAAGTCTTAGCATGAACGGTATCTTGGAATTCCTTGAAACAGAAATCTCTAACACCAAACTAACGCTGTACCAATTGATGATAAGCACAGGATCTTAGAGCTCAGACTGAATCTTTGCCTTTCCTTTTTTTCCCCTCTTTAATTTGTTGGTTCATTTGAAGTGTACACGTTCACCAGCCGGCCAGCCACATTACTTACGAGCCATTTCTAACTTGTGTTGTAAATTCTGTACATCTGTTAGGCAAATAAACAATGACCTAATTTTGTATAATGGTTGAAATACCAAAACAATTTGAGATAATCTGGCATCAAAACATGTGTACTTATAAATAGAATACATTAGTAATTTTCCAACTAACATATCACATCTGGGCCCATCTTTCCTATTTACGCAGCATGTGCTCGGATCTTTGAAATTCTACAGCGTGTTTAGTTTAAATTCTACATAGTTACCCTCTCCTATTACCCATCTATGCTTGGGCTCTCCGGAGAACCAAATTTAAAACGTCAAAGCTTGTTCTTGCTGCAGATATTTTATTGGGTTCTTTTAATATTTCATTTTGTGTCTTATTTCATTCAGGTTTTGATCTTCCTTTGGGTTTTTTTTTATATACATATTTCATTGGGCCCATCGACTACAAATCATCAAGTCAAATATTCTGATCAAAAGCAGCTTTAATTATTCCAGGAGGGGAAAAAACCCACACTGGGGTGGGACGGAGTATGCAAACACGTTTACATAGAGCCCCATCAGCAAGTTGAAACAGTTGTATTTGGTCCCACAAATATGTGGTGGAAAGGGTGCCAGCTGTGCTTGGGAGACCTGGGATTTAGCTCCAGGTATGTCATACATGTACGGATGTTTTTGGATAAGGCCTTTGCTGTACTAGCCTCCCAGAGTCTCAGAGAAGGTAGCCAGGAGAGGAGATTGCTGGGGTTCACATGCCATTGTAATAGGACCTATTTTAAAAGGATGCCACGACATGATATAGTCAATCTTCATTTCATGGATTCCATATGCGTATTCACCTATTCACTGAAATGTATTTGTAAAACCCAAATCAATACTTGGGTCATCCAGAAACATGTGTAGAATGACAAAAACTTGGAGTCATCCATGTGCATGTTGTCAGCTGAGGTCAAGTGAGGTCACACTCTGCCTTCTCATGGCAGCTCTCCTACTGGGAACAGAGCCTTTTTTTTTTTTTTTTTTTTTTTTTTTGTACACTTAGTGCCACATTTTTCACATTTTTCCTTTTTGCTGGTGATTTTGCTGTTTAAAAGGCTCCTAAGCATAGACCTGAATTTAAGTGGCCTTAAAATTTATACTAAGATGAATATGTTTTCATTTAGAAGGAAGGGAGGAAAGTAAGGATGAAGGAAGGGAGGGACAGAAGGAAAGAGAAAGGGAGGGAGGGAGGGAGGGAGGGAGGAAGAGAGAGAAGGAGGGAGACACAAAAGGTATGCAAAGAATAGAGTGTCTTTTTTAAATATATTTTTATTTATTTCAGAGAGAGAAGGAAAGGGGAGAGACAGAAACCTCAATGATGAGAGACAATCATTAATCTTCTGCCTCTTGCACGCCCTACACTAGGGATTGAGCCCACACCATGGACATGTGCCCTGACCAGGAATGGAATTGAACCATGACCTCCTGGTTCACAGCTCAACGCTCAACTGCTGAGACATGCCTGCTGGGCCAGAATAGTGTGTCTTTAGAAAAATAAATAAGAAACTAATAGCAATAAGGGAGAAGGGACTGGGTGTTATAGGCATGGGTAGAAAGCAGACTTTATTTTCAAAGTCTATTTTGATTTTCATACAGTTTTGTGTTTATATTTTATACAACTATATGTGTACATGTGTACAAAATGAAATCTGGCCCCAGAATCTCAGAGGAAACTGCCCTTTGGCTCATTGTGTGTGGAAGCAGAGCCCTGAGGACAGGCCCTGAGGGACCATCTGCTTGGCAGAATGCCCGAAGGAGAGTGTTTGGGTCCCTGAGCAGCCAGGCAGTAGAGGTGAGGATGCCAGAAGTTTGAGAAAAGGAGGGGTTAGAGGAGGTAAGAGAGGGAGAGTCTGACCACATGTTGGCTGTGACCAGAGACATTTAGAATTCTGTGGAATCTGGAATTAGAAGCAAGGTCAGCACAACTCCACTATGCAGTAAGCAGGGCAGTAAGCTGAGTGCTGTTTCTACATTGTGCTGAGGCCAGGCCCAGGGAGCTGACTTGACCTTGGGGTTGCAATTGCAAAGAGGCAGAAAAGGGCTCCTATTGCAATGGGATGTCTGCTGGGAGCCCCATGGGAAAGGTCTAGAAGGCTCAGCCTTGACCTCTGAGAGGCTGCACCCACACGGTGAAACCAGCCTTCCCTCGGGGTTCATTCCAGGTGTAAATACCTGGTTCTGTGAAATCAGAGGTAATAACATCAGCTACCCTTTTAAAGTCCTTAAAACGGGCCACAATCCACCAAACATCGCCAGGTAGATGGTTTCCCCATTTCAAAGCTGAGGTTATGGAATTTCATAGATACAGAGACTTCCCTGGGCTTCCACAGCCAATGCCAGAGCCAGTTCCCATGCAAAACCAGGTGCCTCTCCTCAAACCTCACGCCCTTCCCACAGAGAAAAGGAAACTGCCTCTGACCCTAAAGCTCTCTCTCACCTGATGACACCAATAGGTCAGTATCAGTGAACTCCTCCCCACCCCCGGGGCTTGGGTGTGCACCATCATGAAAAATATGCTTCGTTTTGAAAGTTGTGTAGACCAGATTCTTAGAAATTCCTAGACCCAGTATCTGCCCCACCCTAGAGTTGCTCATTTAGATTGGAAGTGTGACTTTCTGGAAAAATACCCCGAGAGCTTTCATTTAATTATCTATTGATGTGAAGCTCTAAAGTTGTCTTCTTTCATACCACCCAAAACCTGATCCACAAGGCCAGAAACCAAGAACTGAGGTCCGGTGACCAACGGTTTGGTGTGCCCCCAATTTACTTTGGAAAATCCGGCATTCTCTTTCTTCATGGGAATGGCAGGACCCTTACTTGCTGCTACTGCTGATGACATGTGGGCCATGGCGGTGTTGGTCTCTCTGCCAGGTAAGCCTCTGGTTCTAAGCTCAGAAACTAGTTTCTGCTCCATGATGAGCCTCTAGGGGCTGACTGCAGGCCGGCCAGGCTGGCTGCAGAGATGACAGGAGGCTGGTTCCACTCCAGCCGCACGGGAAGTGTGTGCCCTGGGATGAAATGCAGCTTCCAGCGCAGATGTGCTTATGTTTTCCTGCACACTGTAACGGTCACTGCTGTAATCATTGTGAAGATCTAAAAAACATTCAGAAAGCCAACCTGAAAGTGATGGATTTTGTTGCCCCAAAGACACCGAAACCAAGGAATTGAAAGCAGGCAGTGATGGTTTATATCCGCTTGATCCCAAGGAAAGACATCTGCTCAATCATTTTAAAGGGAATTTTGGCAAGTTCAGGAGTGTGATGTGGGGCCTTCTGCATCCCCCCAGGCTCCGTGCGCTGGAGAGGCCTGGCCTCTGGCTGCTGTTCAAATGGATTTCACAGGGAAATGCGTTGTATGCAGCCAGGTCTTTTGGGAAAATCTCAATCTCTTTCTTAAATCTTTAATTTGCCAATTGTACATTGCAAAAACTAAGTGAACCTTCCCACCCACCCTGCCCCCAATCCCACACCGTACCCAGTGGTAACCACTGATAACTCATGCCAGGCTAAGGGAGGGTGGGTTACCTTGAATTCAGCACCACCGATTGCACTCAATTGAGAGAAATTACCCTCCTCTATCCTCCCCACAGAATGGTCTTTTAGAGAAGGCTAAGGATGCAGAGGTTTGTGTTCTCTGCTTCTCACTCCACACAAACCCCTACGTGCCCAACAGAGGTGCCTTCAAATAAAAAGGAGATCAGATCTAGAGATGAGAGAGGAGTGGGGGAACTTGGAAAAGACCCTAAGGCGGAAAACAGAGATGGGTTCCTAAATCACCCACTGGAGGGCAGCGCATGGTGCACACCCCGAACAGTGTGGTGGATGCCAGGTGCCTATCTCAGAGAGTGTGGACTTCAGGAGCTCATCCCAGACAGGGTGGTAAATTTCAGTGCCCACCCGCCTCTCCAGCTCCAGCCGCAGATGCAACCACAGCCTTGAAGTCCCAGGTGCCATACATAGGTCTTCACAATGAGATGTCTGATGAGCGGTTCCTCCCCCTGTGCCCAAAGCCACTGAGTATAAAAACACATTGGGAGTAGAGAGCAGGTGATAATGAGCTGCTTTCTCTGGGGACAGAAGTTCAACATCAGGAAGACAGCTTGGGAGGTGGGAACACTGTCCATGAAAAGTTGCTGCTTTCCCATGTGTATTGTGTTGAATGGATTCTGGCCTCTTACTAAATTCCTAAAAAACAAAATCCCAAATGAATGGCCTTAACCGTAGGTAAGGAAGAGAGAAGTTACTAGCAGAAACCAGAG